AACTGTGAGGTAACTGTGCTAGATAATATTTCAATAATAATCACAAAATTGTACAAAAATGTGTGCAAAAAATTATATAAATATACAAGACAATAAATGATGTGTTGACGATGGTCTCCAGAATGCTCTATCGTTTCGATACTGTTCTTCTTCCGAGAATGAATGAAAACAGCGACTCTTGGTCTGTCTTTTCAACTAGTGGGTATCAAAAATCCATAATATTCACTGATGTATCATGACTTAATTGCAAGAGTTTCTCTGACAGAATGTTCCTAGGGCAAGGTGCTTGTATAATGCCTAGAGAGGAACTAACAGGCCACTGTGTGTGACAGGATGCTGGGCTAGATGGACCACTGGGCTAGATGGGCCAGCAACAGGGCAGAGAGGACAAGGCCTTCATAAGAACATGTTCCAGCAGGGCTCTTCTGATGTGCTTCTGAAGGCCTCGGCCTCTTTGCCCTGTTGCTGGCCCTCCAGGGGAACTGGCTGGCCACTGTGAGAGACAGGATGCTGGATGAGGTGGACTATTGGTTTGATCCAGCAAGGGCTCTTTTTATGTTCTTCTGTCTCATGCCTGCCGCCGAGTGCCCCACGCCCCACCCAGAGTGTTGGCAGCTAGCTGATGATGCAGCAACATGGGAACGCAGAGATAAAGTTATCTCCATCGGCCATGCAGTGCTGGTGTGGGAGGGAAACGGGCTGTGGGGGGCCTGTCATATGTCTGTACGGGAGGAGTCCCCCAGCCGCGGACTATAACCGAGGAGGGCTGACCAAGCCCATCCTTCCTTTACCCCCTAACTCGTCCCCCCTCCCCACCCAGAACCAACAGACCGCTGGGCTCCACACGCAAATTATCTCCTACTTGTTATCAGAACTGAATTCTTCCTTTCGTCACCCGCTCTCTTTCCTCCCTTTTAATAGAAGAGACGATTATTTTTACTGCTTTGTTATGATTGTGCTGTGTCACTTGGATTCCAAAGGATTCTCTCTTTTTTTACAGTGGAAGTTTCTAGCCCTCATGGGTGAGGAGAGAAAAACACAGCAACCACAATACACAGATTGAGGCTCTAATGCATACATAGGGTTACCATCCTCCAGGTTTTGTGGACATTTATTAACTGCTAGGAATCTGTTGAACTGCATTGGACTATTCACACTGGTGTCTTTGAAATGGATCTGAATGGTTATTTAGAGTACTACACTGTTGGAATCATAGAATGTGAGAGTTTGAAGGGACCTTGCAGGTCATCTAGTCCAGCCCCCTGCACTCTGCAGGAGCATAGCCGAAAGACAGCCCTACAACATACCCGAAAGATGGTCGTCCAGCCTCCGCTTGAAAACGTCCAGCGAAGGAGCATCCACCACATCTTGTCCCAAGGCAGTCTGCTCCACTGCTCATCCACTCTTACAGTTAGGAAGTTTCTCCTGATATTTAGCCAGTATCGACTCCCTTGTCATTTCCACCCATTAGATCTAGTCTTGCAATCCGGAGCAAGAGAGAATAGATCCGCTCCATCTTCTACATGACAGCCCATCAAATATTTGAAGGCTGCAATCATGTCCACTCCTCTAAGCCTTCTCTTTCCCAGGCTAAACAGACCCAACTCTTTCAGCCTTTCCTCCTAAGACTTGGATTCCAACCCTCTCACCATCCTGCTTGCCCTCTTCTGGACACGCTCGAGCTTGTCAACATCCTTCCTAAAATGGGGTGCCCAAAACTGGACACAGGACTCCAGGTGAGGCCTGACCGTAGCAGAACAGAGCGGATCTCCCACCTCCCGTGATCTGGACACAGTGCTTCTGTTAATGCAGCCTAAGATTGCATTAGCTTTCTTCGCAGTCACATCACACTGCAGGCTCATGTCTAGCTTGTGATCAACCAGAACACCTAGATCCCGTTCATATGTGCTGTTGTCAAGCCAAGTCCCTCCAATTCTATATCTGTGCCTTTGGTTTTTTGTACCCACTTCTCTCTATTGAGATTCATTTTGTCTCAGCCCACTGTTCCAGGCCTATATAAGAATATTCTGAATCAAGTGTCAAGTATTTCTGGGTTCAGGGTTACAGTTTTTGACTGTGTTATATGCTATACTTCCATTTCTTTATTCTAATCCTTCAGTTGGTGGCTGGAGATCGACTGCTATTACAACTGATCGCCAGGCGACAGAGACCAGTTCACCTGGAGAAATGGCCGTTTCGAAAGGTGGACTCTGTGGCATTCGACCCCACTGGAGTCCTCAAACCCCGCCCTCCTCAGGCTCCACCCCCCAAATCTCCAGGAATTCCCCAACCTGGAGTTGACAACCCAGTGCATGCATGACACGGGCTGTCTGGTAAACTCCAACAGGTCAGGATATGACCCACAGGCACACTGGACATCCCCCTACTGCAGTGATCCTCCCAAATGACACAGGATGCCAACCTCCAGGTGGGGCCTGGAGACCGCCCAGAATGACACGTGGTGCCCAGACTGCAGAGATCAGTTCCTCTGGAGACACCGGCTGCCCTGGAGAGCGGCCTCTATGGCATTATAGTCTGCTGGGGTTCTTCCCCCGCCCCAAGACTCCACCCCCAAATCTCCAGGAATTCCCCAGCACAGGGTTGGCAGCCCTGTGGTGCTCCCTCCCTTCTAGTCCCAAAAGCAAAGAGCAAATCCTGGTTTCCTTCCCACCATCATGTCCACATTGAAAGAGCCCAGGAAGGGCTCACACCTTTCAGTCTGCAGAGCGCGATGTCATGGAAACGGTTGCGTCCATCGCGGGATGATGCTCAGCTTGCAACTTCTCGCCATTCCGGTGACTGGTTCCTGGCCCCGCCCCCGTGGCGGCCATTCTGTGGCGACACCCACTACCTGTTTCCAGAATCTCCATGCTGCCCCACAGCCTCAAGGCCTCCCCTTCTGTGCACAGAACATCTCTCAATAATGGACAGTGTGGGCGGGCATCCTGCGTAGCATTGGCAACACCGGGTTGGGAAATTCCCCGAGATCTGGGGGTGGAGCCAGGGGGACAGCTGGGTTTAGGGATGGGAGGGCCCTCAGTGCCACCCTCCCAAGCAGCCTTTTTCTCCAGGGGAACAGATCTCTGTAGTCTGGAGGTCAGCAGTAATTCTGGAATGCTTCTTCACCCAAAGAGTGATTGACACGTGGCATTCACTGCCGCAGGAGGTGGCGGTGGCGACTACAAGCATGGACGGCTTCAAGAGGGAATTAGATAAGCACAAGGGGCGGGACCCGCGATACTCGGGGGGAGGGTGGGGTAAAAATGCCTAAATAAATAAATAAAATCAAAAGAAGACTTGTTAGAGGAAGAGCTCTGGCAGAAACCATGGCACAAAGTCAGGCATTCCCAGGTAGGACTACCAACCTCCGGGTAGGGCCTGGAGATCTCCTGGAATTTCATGTGACCTACAGATGACAGCGATCGGTTCCCTTGGAGAAAAATGGTGGCTTTGGAGAGGAAAATGTACAGCATTAGACCCCGCCGAGCTCCCTCTCCTCCCCAAATCCCACCGTCCCCAGACCTTCAGGTTAAGCCACAGAGTCTTGCCTAAATCCCAGAGTGTTGCCAGTGACACACTGATGTCACTTCCAGTGCTCACAGGAAGTGACATCAGTGCATCGCCAGCGACATCAGCAAATCACTGGCGAGGGGCCCCAGCCAATGCTCCCTCTAGGCGGTGGAGTCTTCTGAGCAAAAATTCTACTTTCTGAGCTAATGGCATTAAGGTTGTGAGCGAGAGATTCAGCTACTGCATAAATTAGTTTGCTCTGGAGCCCTCCTTCCGGGGTGAAGGCAAAAATGCGTGAGCCGGAGGCTTAAAAAACTGTGAGCTAGCTCACACTAACTCATCTTAGAGGGAACACTGCCCCCAACCCCCGGAGGTCCTCCAAGTTCCCCACTGGTTGCTGGGGGGAATCCGATAACCCTAAATGCCAGTGCTCATGGTGGGTCTCAGGTGACAGAGGGCTTTAAAGTTCAATACCAGCACCTTGAACTGAACCCAGAATGTAAGAACATCAGAAGAGCCCTGCTGGGTCAGACCAGGGAGGGTCCATCCAGTCCAGCCTCCCGTCTCACACAGGGGCCAGCCAGTTCCTCTGGAGGGCCAGCAACAGGGCAGGGAGGCTGAGGCCTTCCCTTGATAAGAACATCAGAAGAGCCCTGCTGGATTAGACCAGCGGTCCATCCAGTCCAGCCTCCCGTCTCACACAGGGGCCAGCCAGTTCCTCTGAAGGTCCAGCAACAGGGCAGGGAGGCTGAGGCCTTCCCTTGATAAGAACATCAGAAGAGCCCTGCTGGATTAGACCAGCGGTCCATCCAGTCCAGCCTCCCGTCTCACACAGGGGCCAGCCAGTTCCTCTGAAGGTCCAGCAACAGGGCAGGGAGGCTGAGGCCTTCCCTTGATAAGAACATCAGAAGAGCCCTGCTGGATTAGACCAGCGGTCCATCCAGTCCAGCATCCTGTCTCACACGGTGGCCGACCAGTTCCTCTGGACGGCCAACAACAGGGCAGAGAGACCAACGCTTTCTCCTGATGTTGCCTCCTGGCTCTGGGATTCAGAGGCTTAGTGCCTCGGAATGTAGAGGTTCCGCTCAGTCACCATAGCTAGTAGCCACTGACGGACTTCTCCGCGAATCTACCTAATCCCATTTTAAAGCTGCTTATCCCTGCGGCCATCACTACATCCTCTGGCAGCGAATCCCCCATTTTAATCACTCTCTGTGTAAAGTGGTGTTTCCTTTCATCCATCCTGAACCTACTGCCCACCGGCTTCATTGGATGCCCTCGCGTTCCAGTCTTTCAGGAGAGGGAGAAGACCGGAAGACAGCAGGGGGGGGGGGACCCTGGAGTGGTTTCGTGTCAAACGTGCCCTTCTGGCCGAGCTACGAGCCCTCCCAGAAGTCAGAAGAACTTTACAAACACACGGTTTCTTCCATGAACGATACCAGCAGCTATGTTCCCTCTTTACCAGACTGTTTAATTGCACAGCATTCCAGTGCTTCTGCATAGTGGCAGGGGGTGCGTGAGTGTCCCAAGGCCCTGGAAGGAAGGATCCAGAGCACTGGGGGAAGACCCTTAAGAGAACCTCCTCCCCCGCCCCGAACCAAAGGAACAAGGAACTCATTCTCCAAGACTACAGACCTGAGCTATCTCACAGAGCCAAAGGGCAGGGAAGACGATCAAGACTGTTATCTGCCCAGCACTGGATCACTGGCTCTCTTTCACTGCCCAACAGCAATCCGTTTGCAACTGGATTCTCCCGTGTGGACAAGACCACCCAGGGGGGTTAAGAACTGCCACAGGGAATACAGGGAAGCCGCCCAACAAGACACTGTACTGGAGAGAGGTTTCTGCAGTTCCGGGTTGGACGGGGTTTCCTGTGTTCTTAAGAGTCACGGCAGGCTGGACAGGAAACGTCTCTTCGATGCGGCGTTGCAAGAGAGGGAGGAACTGCACGTCCCGAAATTCTCCCTTCTGTCCTGGGGGACCTGCTGTCTCCCGTCTCCCAGCCCAAGAACCTGGGTCTGTTTAGAAGCGGCGTCCCCAGTAGACAAAATATGTCCACGGGCCCTGTCAGTCTTCCACAGTGTGGGTCCAACCTGACCCAGGACAGCAGAAAGATCGGGGTGCCGGAGAGAGCCAAAGCCAGCCGCGGGGGGTCTCTGTCCTGCCTCCCCCCTTCAGTCGTCGATCACGTAAGGCGCCACGAGTTCCAGATCCACCAGGGATTCCTCCAGGGGCTGCTCCACGTGGAAGTCCCGCTGGTGCTGTGGGCGAGCCTTCTTGCCCCCCCGCTGGGGGACGGGCAGCTCGGAGTGGTGGGCAGGCAGCGGTGGGGTGAAGAAATAGGGGTGCAGCAGCGCCTGGAGAGAAGACACGAAAAGAGAGAATCACCCAACGGCCACCTAAATTCTGTTTTCAGTAGCAGCCAGAGCGTGCGGTCAGGGGAGCTCCCTCGAACCCGGGACTACGTTTAAAGCAAGCACGAACGGTAACAGGTTTTCTCCCCCCTCCCTTTTACACAGTTTGCTTCCCAGAGTGCTTCACTGGGGAGAAGAGCTTAACTCTTCCGTCTCCTGTTGGGTTGCCAACCTCCAGGTGGTAAAAAAAACATGTTTTACCTAAACAAAGATAATTAAATTGGAAGAAGAGAAGAGGAAGAGATTGGATTCACTCCTTCACTCGGAGTCTCAGAGCTGCTTACAAACTCCTTTCCTTCCCCCTCCCCGCAACAGAGACCCTGTGAGGCAGGTGGGGCTGAGAGAGCCCTCCCAAGAACTGCCCTTTCAAGGATAGCTCTTTGTCAGAACTAAGGCTTGCCTGAGGTCATCCAGCAGGTGCAAGTGGAGGAGTGGGGAATCAAACCCAGTTCTCCCAGATTAGAGTCCGCACATTTAACCACTACACCAAGCTGGCTCAAACTATCCAATGAAAATGGTTTTTATATCATAATGCACCATTTATAAATACAAATCCCAAAGCTATTCATAGGTCAGCAGTTGTTGTTGTTCAGTCGCACAGTCGAGTCCGACTCTTCGCGACCCCATGGACCAGCTCCCGCCAGGCCTTCCTGTCTTCCGCTGTCCAGGCCAGCAGTATCAGAATTCAGATTCTCAGATCATAAGGCAAGAAGCCAAGCGTTCACACGCAGTTCATCACGGGCTCATAAAACACTTCGTTGAAGGTGCCCAGGTGTCTTCAGTTTTGAGAAACAGAAGCCATGTTCCAAGTCGAAAATAGACAACCAAGTCACAACGCGGATATCCAAAGATAGCGGTCACAATGAAATCCTCCTATGGGCACGCTGGCCATGTCGTTCCACGTTTCGCCTGAGGGAGCTTTTTCAAGTTGGAACCGCTTTCTCAAAACAGGATATGGATATCACCAGGGCTATTTCTGGGCAGGAACGCACAGGAACGGAGTTCTGGCTGGCTCCCAAGTTGGTCACGCCCAGCAGGAACTCATTAGCATAATAGGCCACACCCAACAGCAGGAACTCCTTAGGATTGGCTACAATTAGGGGTGTGTGGCCTAACATGCAAAAAGCCCTGGGTTTTGACAACAAGGTAAACAGAGTAAGAAGCAAAAGGTGGGTGTGGCTGGATGACCACACTTCTGGTAACATGGGGGTGCGGCCTAATATGCTAATGAGCTGTGCTGGCAGGGGTGTGGCCTAATATGCTAATGAGTTTCTGCTGTTGGGTGCGGCCTATTATGCTAATGAGTTCCTGCTGGGCTTTTTCTACAAAAAGAGCCCTGGATATCACTGAAACCAAAACTCAGGCACAGTCTTCCGAAACCCCTGTCCAAGGCTTTTTTGTTTTGTGACGGTGCTTTGCATGACCTCCAGGCGGTAGCTGGGGATCTCTTGGGATGACAACTGACCTCCAGGTGACCGAGATCAGTTCCCCTGGAGAACGTGGCCCCTTTGGAAGGTGGACTCCGTGGCATTTTACCTCCTGACGGACTTGTTGACCTTTAACTCCTGTTTCTTCTCAGCTTTCTCAAAGAGGCAACAGAACAAAATCCATATATCCCAAATATCATTCAAAGACAGACAAAATTTAACATGCCCTGTTTTCACAGGAGGAACGATGGATCTCTCTGGAGTATATAACCTATGGCTCTGTACCCCACTGAATCCCCTCCCCAGGTCCTGCTTAACGTCCGAGATCTGACAGTTAGGTGGAATTCACTGCCGGGGGGTGTAGGGATGGCCACAAGTGTAGGCGGCTTTCAAAGGGGACTTAGATCAATTCGCGGAAGAAAGTCCCATCAATGGCTACTGCCTGCGGTGACCAAACAGAGCCTCCGTGTACAGAGGCAGCCAGTGTTCCCTCTAAGGTGAGTTAGTGTGAGCTAGCTCACAGTTTTTTAGCCTCCGGCTCACACATTTTTGGCTTCGCTCAGGAAGGACGGCTCCAGAGAAAACTAATTTATGCAGGAGCCAAATCGCTCGCTCACAGCTTTAATGCCAGTCGCTCACAAAGTAGGATTTTTGCTCACAAGACTCCACAGCTTAGAGGGAGCATTGCTGGCCACCAGGGCTTTTTTTGTAGAAAAAGCCCAGCAGGAACTCATTAGCATATTAGGCCACACCCAACAGCAGAAACTCATTGGCATATTAGGCCTCACCCCTGACAGCACAGCTCATTGAGATATTAGGCCACACCCCCGTGTTACCAGAAGTATGGTCATCCAGCCACACCCACCTTTTGCTTCTTGTTCTGTTTACCTTGTTTGTTGTCAAAACCCAGGGCCTTTTTTTGTAGCAGGAACTCCTTTGCATGTTAGGCCACACACCCCTAATTGTAGCCAATCCTAATGAGTTTCTGCTGTTGGGTGTGGCCTATTATGCTAATGAGTTCCTGTTGGGCGTGGCCAACTTGGAAGCCAGCCGGAACTCCGTTCCTGTGCGTTCCTGCCCAAAAATAGCCCTGCTGGCCACCCAATCACAGCTGAATTACGGCAACCTCGTGGGACAGGGATCTCCAACATGGTGCCTGTGGGCACCATGGTGCCCTCCGACACCGTTCCCAGGGCCTGCCGAGGGTTTCTACAAAGTGGGCAGGGCCCCTGCAGATCTGACTGGACGTGCAGATCCTTAAAAACGCTGCTTTGGCGGCAGCTGCTGCCACAATGCAAGGATCTCAATGGTACGGCTGAAGGTAAGCCATGGCAGCCCTCCACACTGTGACGGAACCCCAAAGGTGCTCACAGTCTCAAAAAAGGTTGGGACCCCTGCCGTAGGGTTTTCAGAGGCCATTGCCTGCCTCCACGTCACAACCCTGGTATTCCTTGGAGGTCTCCCATTCAAATACCAGCCAGGGCCGACCCTGCTCAGTTTCTGAGATAGGACAAGACTGGGCTATCCAGCTCAGGGCATGGACAGCCCTAGACCAATTCGGAAAAAAGAAAATCGCATTCCCTGTAAGTAGAGCAACAGCCTGTAGGGCCCCCTGGTGACTGTTTGTGGGACATTTCGATTAGAACTCCAAAAGCCCGCCTGACTCTTTTTGCACCCGCGGCTTTCCCACTGCAGCATCCCTGGCCGATTCTGCATCTAGCATTCGCTCCACATTTTCTCATAAAGTTTTCTCCGGACTTGACTTATGCAGCCAAAAGTTATTCTTAGGATATACTTGACATGGAGGAGGAGGAGGAGGACAGATTGGATTTATGCCCTGCCCTTCACTACCCAAGGGAGTCTCAGAGTGGCTTACAAACTGTGAAGTAGGTTAGGAGGAGAGAAGAAGAAGAGAAGAGATTGGGTTTATAGCCCGCCCTTCACTCAGAGTCTCAGAGTGGCTTACAAACTCCTTTCCCTTCCCCTCCCCACAACAGACACCCTGTGAGGTAGGTGGGTCTGAGAGAGCTCTTTCCAGAACTGCCCTTTCAAGGACAGCTCTGACAGAACTATGGCTTGCTCAAGGTCATCCAGCAGGTGTAAGTGGAGGAGTGGGGAATCAAACCCGATTCTCCCAGATTAGAGTCCAGCTCCTTCAGCCTCTTCTCATAGGACATGGTCTCCAACCCCAACCACCCCTCGCTTTGTTGCCCAATGTGGACTCCTCCCAGCTTACTGACAGCCTTCCTAAATCATCTAGCCCCAAACTGAACTCAGGGCTCTAGGTGAGGTCTAACCAAAGCACTCTTCATCAGCACCAGTTCCTTGCATGACCTCAAAGCTACGCTTCTGCGAACGCAGCCTACAATCCCATCGGCGACCCTATGGATCAATGTCCTCCAGAATGTCCCATCATCCCCAGCCTCGCTCAGGCCTTGCAAACAGAGGGCCTTTGCGGCTTCCTCGGTGGAGTCGATCCGCCTCTGGTTGGGTCTCCCTCTTTTCCTGCTGCCTTCAGCTTCTCCTAGCATGATGGTCAGGGCTATTTTTGGGCAGGAACGCACAGGAACGGAGTTCCAGATGGCTTCCGAGTTGGCCACACCCAGCAGGAACTCATTAGCATAATGGGCCACACCCAACAGCAGAAACTCATTAGGACTGGCTACATTAGGGGTGTGTGGCCTAACATGCAAAGAAGTTCCTGCTACAAAAAAAGCTCTGGGTTTTGACAACAAACAAGATAAACAGAATAAGAAGCAAAAGGTGGGTGTGGCTGGCTGGTAACGTGGGGTGTGGCCTAATAGGCTAATGAGCTGCTATCTCAGGGTGTGGCCTAATATGCTAATGAGTGTCTGCTGTTGGGTGTGGCCTATTATGCTAATGAGTTCCTGCTGGGCTCTTTCTACCAAAAAAGCCCTGATTATGGTCTTTTCAAGTGACTGTTTGTCCTCATAATGCAACCAAAGGTCAACAGCCTCAGTTGAAGAGAGTTCCAGGTGGTCAGCCATGTTGGTCTGAAGCCGTCGAACAGATTTCATGTCCAGTGGCACCCTGAAGACCCACAAAGGTTTATTCAAAGTATGAGCCATCAGGAGGTCCACCAGCAGGGCCAGAACTCCAGAAACCCTTCCACTGTTGCACTCCAAGGTATGAGCATAAATAAAATGAAAAAAGTGTGCATGCACACAACAGCTCATACCTTGAATAAACCGTTGTTGGTCTTAAAGGTGCCGCTGAACTCTAAATCTGTTCTAGAAGAAGAAGAAGAGGAGATTGGATTTATCCCCGGCCCTTCACTTGAAGTCTCAGAGCGTCTTACGAACTCCTTTCCCTTCCCCTCCCCACAACAGACACCCTGGGAGGGAGGTGGATCTGAGAGAGCTCTTGACAGAACTGTCCTTGAGAGAACAGCTCTGACAGAACTATGGCTTGTCCAAGGTCATCCAGCCAGGTGCAAGTGGAGAGGTGAGGAATCAAAACCAGTTCTGTTTGTTCCTCCAGTTGCATCCATAAGACTCCTTGCTGTCCCACTATGATGACCCTAAAGTAGGCTTGAAGATACAGTCTCAGAGCCGCATACCCAAACTGACATTTCACAGATTTATTTTCTCTTCTTTTTTCTCTCTCCAAGGGTGACCCAGAATGGCTGACATCCTTCTCCGCTCTGCCATTTTATCCTCACAACAACCCTGTGAGGTAGGTTAGGAGGAGAGAAGAAGAAGAAGAGAAGAGATTGGGTTTATATCCCGCCCTTCACTCAGAGTCACAGAGCGGCTTACAAACTCCTTTCCCTTCCCCTCCCTACAACAGACACCCTGTGAGGTAGGTGGGGCTGAGAGAGCTCTTTCAAGGACTGCCCTTGAGAGAACAGCTCTGACAGAATTACGGCTTGCCCAAGGTCATCCAGCAGCTGCAAATGGAGGGGTGAGGAATCAAACCCAGTTCTCCTCACGCTTAACCACTACACCACACTGGCTCTCTACAGCCTCAGTTGAGTCATTTCAGCTTCTAGGGAGAGGTCAGGCTTGATTTAATCTAGAATCCACTTACTTGGAGCAGACCCTAGAATTTACTCTTTGATATTAAGAGCGTTTGCTCTTAAAGGTAAAGGTTTCCCTTGCCCGAAAGCCAGTCGAATCCGACTCTTGGGGGCGGTGCTCGTCTCCGGTTCCAAGCCGAGGAGGCAGCGCTGTCCGAATCCGTTTCCGTAGTCATGTGGCCGGCATGACTAAACACCAAGGTGCACGGAACGCTGTTCCCTTCCCACCGAAGCGGTACCTATTTATCTACTTGCAATGTCTTGCTTTCGAACGGCTAGGCTGGCAGGAGCTGGGGCTGGAGAGGGGAGTTCACTCCGTCCTGCGGCACCAGGATCTCGAATTGCCAAACTACAGTCCTTCTGGTTTGCAGCTCAGCATCTTAACCTCTGAGCCACCGCGACCCCATGTTTGCTCTTAAAGGTAAAGGTAAAGGTTTCCCTTGCTCGAAAGCCAGTCGAGTCCGACTCTAGGGTTGCGGTGCTCATCTCCGTTTCCAAGCTGAAGAGCCAGCGCTGTCCGAAGACATTTCCGTGGTCATGTGGCCGGCATGACTAAACACCGAGGCGCACGGAACGCTGTTACCTTCCCACCGAAGTGGTACCTATTTATCTACTTGCAATTTCTTGCTTTCAAACTGCTAGGTTGGCAGGAGCCGGGGCCAGAGACGGGAGCTCACTCCATCATGCAGCACCCGGGTCTCAAACTGCTGAACTACCGACCTTTCACAGCCTGCAGTTCAGCGTCTTAACCACTTGAGCCACCGCAGCTCCAATGTTTGCTCTTCACCACCACCAATCAAAACGTGCACTGCCATTTGCTTCCTGGACCCCCACTAGTTCCTCCTCCTCTTCCCTGGGCAAGGCCAGGCCGGGAACCTCGGTCCTTCCCTCCATGCCACGCCCCCTTACCTGCGCTGCCCGCACGCGGTGCTTGGAAGGATAGACCAGGAACTGTTTCAGGAGCTGCACGGCCTGTGGCGAGGCATCCGGCACCACCTGCTCCAGGGGAACGGGCGGCTTCTCTTTGAACGAGATCTTGTTGTAATCGGGCAGTTCGGTGATCTCCTGTCCCAAGAAAGGAGGAGAACATGCCATCAAGTCACATCCGGACTTATGGTGACACCGTAGGACTTTGAAGGCATGAGACGGTCGGAGGCGGTTCGCGATTGCCTGCCCCTGCACAGCAAACCCTGGACTTCCTTGATGGTCTCCCATCCAGCTACTGAGAACATCAGAGAAGACAGAGCGTCACTGCCCCAGACATAAGAGCATAAGAGAAGCCATGTTGGATCAGGCCATTGGCCCACCCAGTCCAACACTCGGTGTCACACAGTGGCCAAAACCCAGGGGCCATTAGGAGGTCCACTGGCGGGGCCAGAACTCCAGAAGCCCTCCCACTGTGGCCCCCCCAAGCACCACGAATATGGAGCATCACTATCCCAGACGCAGAAAAAGAAGAAGAGATTGGATTTATATCCCGCCCTTCACTACCGAAAGGTGTCTCAGAGCGGCTTACAAACTCCTTTCCCTTCCCCTCCCCACAACAGAGACACCCTGCGAGGTAGGTGGGGCTGGGAGAGCTCTGACGGAAACTGCTCTCTTTCAAAGACAGCTGTGCCAGAACTACGGCTTGCCCAAGGTCATCCAGCCAGGTGCAAGTGGAGGAGTGGGGAATCGAACCCGGTTCTCCCAGATTAGAGTCCGCGCACTTAACCACTACACCAAACTGGCTCACCAAACGTACCTACCAGGACTGACCCTGCTTAGCTTCCAAGATCTAGTGAGATCGGGCTAGCCCGGGCCACCCAGGTCAGGGCCCCAAGAAAGAGATCATGGTGGAAATTTGGAAACCTTGGTTCTCCTTGCCTCCCCTCCCCCAGAAACAGGATGGAATCACAGCTCCAGCCCTTTTGGGGGGGAAATACCTCATTGCTGTTAAACCCACCGGCCAGATCTTCTGGTTGGGGGTCCCAAGCACTCCGAGGACACAGCACAACTGCTCGATATCATTCTCCCCCGGGAAGAGCGGGGAGTTGTTGAGAAGCTCCGCAAAGATGCAGCCCACAGCCCTGGAGAGAGGCAAGAGAGAGGGTCAGCGGCAGAACCAGGAGGGGGCAGGATCCTGGAAGGGAGCAATGAGTTATAGGATCTAACTGGGCCCATAACCACAGGGGGGGGGTTGGTGGGGCAATGCCCCCCCAAGGTGAGCACCGCCCCCATCAGACAAAAATAAATCAGAAAAAGTCAAAAAATATTTTTAAAATGTGAGATGTGCATGGGGGTTCCAAAATGACCCCGGGCACAGTCAGGGAAGTTTCAGATTCATTTTCTCTTTTTTTCCGGGCCGAAAAATGAATAGGTTTTTTAAAAAATGCAAATAAAATAAAATAAAACTGCAAAATGCAAAACAGAGAGAGTTGGAGGTTCCGCCCACCCACCCCAGTTTACACAGGAAAGAAGCCCGGAATCGAATCTCTCCAATCGAAAGGAGTAGAGGACCGGAGGAGGACTGGAGGCCGCAGCGGAGCCGAAGCTGCTGCTTCTTCTGCTGCTGCGAGAGAAGTGGCAGGCACGGCTGGGGCACAACCTCCCCCCCCAATTTCCCCATGCCCCACCAACCAAAATTTTCTGGCTACGCCCCTGGATCTAACCTGCCCCTGCTATGCAACACCTTCAGGGTCAATGCTACAAATTCAACTGCTTGCGAAACTCTCTTCAATGCTGTGGCTGCCCTCACAGTGGGTATGTAAGAACATCAGAACAGCCCTGCTGGATCAGACCAGTGAGGGTCCATCGAGTCCAGCATCCTGTCTTCTGGGCCACCCAGAACTCCCAGCGCTGACCTGAGCGGCCCCTTTCTCCTTCACCGTCGCTGAGATGCTGAACTCAATTTATCTGTCACCAAGCATCATTTCTCATTTCTCAGAGGGTAGGGAAGGGCAGGACGCAAAGGAAACTCTTGTATGTTGTGTATTAAACGAGGACGTGAAACACGGGAGCGGGGAGGGAGGTACTTCACTGGTTCCCCCAAGTTCTGGTGGGAGGAATATCAGCCTCAAGAAGGAGCTCTTATAGCAAATGGTGAAGAAGAAAGAGTAGTAGTAGTAGTAGTTGGTTTTTATACCCCACTTTTCTGTACGCTACGGAGTCTGAAAGCGGCTTACAATCGCCTTTCCTCTCCCCACAACAGGCACCTTGTGAGGCAGGTGGGGCTGAGAGAGATTCTGAGAGAACTGTGACTGCTCCAAGGTCTCCCAGAAGGCTTCATGTGCGGGGGGGGGTGTGTGTCAAACCCGGTTCTCCAGATTAGAGTCCGCTGCTCTTAACCACGGTGCCATGTTGGCAAATACACTCACCACAGATCCACGCCTTCGTCGTATTTCCGAGCTCCATAGAGGAGTTCCGGGGCCCGATACCACCTAAGGGAGAAGATCCCACATGTCTCATTAAAACTTTCAAACCTTCAGCATGTCCCAGACACTGGCCAATAGGACCTTCGCACGTAAGGTTCGTACAGATCTTGACCACATCCTTCTCTGAAGCCAATGGATGAGTTAGGACAGATCTCAAGAGCCTCAGAATCAGGTCCTTTGGCCAAACTCTGACTTGATTCTCCCTCCCTGGCTCTCTTTCATCAGATCTTACTTATTTATTTTTATTTTATTAAACTTATGAATCGCCCGCCCTGCAGGGCAGGCTCTGGGCGATTTACAACCCTGCAGACAATTGCTATATAATCAAAACCACTGATAATAACAAGAAATTAAAACCAACCAGATGGCGATAAATAATCCTCCATTGCCGGTCACAGCGCTGTCCCCGCACGGTACGGCAGGGCAGGGGATGTGGGGGCCACAGAAGGAGAGGGTGTGGGGAGGGGATGCAGGGCAGGGGATGTGGAGGCCATTCCATCCCCCCTGCCCCCCACCCCTGGCCCATCCAATTCACCTAGTTGCCACTTTGTGGCTATACAGCCTGTCTCCGTCTCGGGTGAACACCCTGGCCAGACCAAAGTCCGCAATTTTAAGCTGCCCTGTAGAGCTGATCAGCAAATTGGCTGGTTTCAGGTCCTGAAAGTGATAGACCAGAATTGAGAGAGAGAGAGAGAGAGAGAGAGAGAGATCCTCAGATTGATACACAAATCTGTGACTGCATGCTCCCGTTGCTGAATTGTAAACACACAGTCGGAGTCCAAAGAGTTAGATGACTATCTGTTTAATGCATTTAAAACAGGGAATACAGGGCTGAGTACCTTAGCACTTCAGCAATTCCAAAACTGAATTCTGCCCCAACCAGGAAGGGCAGAAGGTCTTATATCCCAAATGACATCACATATAGTTTACACATTAAAGAGTCTCTAAGCATTTAACATCATACAAGCATAATTTGACTCAGTGCATCTCTCAGTGGTGTCAGTAATTACACTTGTTTATCTTGCCTTCAGAACATTGGGAACATTAGAGAACACTGGGTCCCTTCCTGGGCTCGCATGTGGAGAGCTAGCTGATAAGGGCTGTGAATCACATCACACTTCGCTCTCGGCGGCCTTGCAGCGTCTAAATAGCATTCCATTCTTATTGCTTACTGATTCCTTCTACAAAAGCTTCTTAGAATACTTTTGCTTAATATGGCTTGTGTTGTCCTCGCTTATTGGGGAGACGGTTTTACCTTTAAAACACTCTCTGTGTACCTAAACTTGGTAGATTTCTGCTGCCACCAGGAATTAAAAATTCCAAATCTCTCTCTTTTAGTAGAATGACGTAGGGTCTGGGCACTTCGGAGGACTATGTGGCCTTGAGGAAGGACTATTCTGATTTCTGGGATAAGTTTAAACAAAAAAAAAAAAGATTTATTTAATAAAGAACAAAATAGGTTTCTGGTTGTTTTGAACTGTTGCTGATGAAAGGAACTTATAAATATAACTGGCAAAGCTTGGTATCACAAACAGTCTCTCAAACTCCCACTCTGACAGGCATAGACACTCAGTCTAATCTCTCTCTATATATATATAGCCACACAGGCTGAACTCTTTGTCTTATTCACACAGAATAGACTCAAAATCTCCCATAGTCACACAGTGCTCTCTCTTCAAATTTCATACACAGAATCACTCTCATAGACACCCCTCCTCCCACACTCTCAGTCATCAGCCAATCACATCACACATGTCTCCCTCTATCACTCTTCTGACAGTACTGCGGTCAAACTAAACATTTAAAAAAACACACACACCAAAACATGAAATCATTACATGGCTCCTTATACAAAAAATGCAGATAAAATATACCTATATATTCTACTATAAGTTTCTCTAATCAGAAGATTCTGGGTTATATACCAAGATCTGGATCTATTCTGATTGAACTTAAACATCTATCGATATACATCAAGGAGAGAGTGCCAGAAATCACATTCGGAAATCACATTCTTTTCCCCTTGTCCTACAAGATCTAAAAGAGAGCTGGGAAAGGAGCCAAGCAGCGTGACCAAGTGAGAGCAGGCGAGCCAGCGTTTCGAGAGGAAGCAGAGACAAAAAAGCCTAGTGGTTCGAACAAGGCCTCACCCGGTGCATGATGGAGTTGGTATGGCAGAAGGCCACCCCCTGGAGTAGCATGAGCATGTAGCCTTTCACTTGGGCGTCGGTGAGGGGCTGTTCGGAGTTGCGGATCACCTCAGAAAGGTCGGAGATCATGTACTCAAACACCAGGACAAAGCCGGTGCCGTGGGGGAAGACATCCTTCAGCTTCACCACCTGTGGAGAGGGAAGGAGTGACCCGACATCAGTCATGGGGCCTATCCCATCGGGTCCCCACTTTAGGGCTGGCAGGCAGTGTCTGGCAACCAGCGGGAGATTTGTGTGTGGGAGGGAACACAGCACTGCGGGGGGGGGGGGAATTAAACAGGAGCCTCGTGAACTTACTGAAAATTTATACAGGAAGTGACAAGGGGGAGGTCTAGGAATAGCTGGAAACTCTATGGTAAAAACCACAGAGGGTTCCGGAAAGCCTTAATCCAAACCACACCTTTCTCTCTTGACAGGCTTATTTAACTTTTTACACAGAGAGCGAGAATTCAATGACTACTCACATGTTGGTTTTCCTCAATTTCCTGCAGCGCTTTGATCTCCCTCAGGGCTTGGTTCGGGATACCGTCCTCCAGCTTGCGGAGAGCCACCTTCTTCAGGGCAACCGTCTCCCCTGTCTGTGCAGAACGCAGGCCGGAGGAAAACAGGTGCACAAGGGGGGGGTCTGGCACCCCATTCTCCTGCGTCAGCCCCTTCCCTTCCAGAAGCTGAGAAAGACCCCGAGAAAGACCCCAGGAGCTTTCAATCCCGACGAGCAAGAGGGACCCCACTCACCTCAATATTCTTGGCTTTGAAAACAATCCCGTGGGCCCCCTCTCCAATGTGGCCCAGGATGCTGTACTGGTCCATGGCACCCCCCTGCGAGAGGAAACGGGGGAGATAAATCACACCACAGCCTCCCTGGCGTCTCCCAGCACGCAGCCTTACAGAACAACAGTTGTGAACACACACATTGAAAATCCAGATTCTCTCAGAAGGGAATGGAGACATGTAAAGAACTGGAAATGAAATTAATCTTGAAATGGTATAGGACCCCTGGCTCAATTATCATATATGATCAAGGGGATGAAATCAGAGTGTTGGCATTGTAAAAGGGTAAGGGGCTATTATGCACATCTTTGGTGGGAGTCCCTAAGGTAATGGAAGTTTGGAATCTGATCCTGGGAAAGGTGGATAATTTATGTAGTGTTAAGGCTTGAGTTGGGAGCTGCAGTGGCTCAAGTGGTTAAGACGCTGAACTGCAGGCTGTGGAAGGTCAGTAGTTCAGCAGTTCGAGACCCGGGTGCCGCAAGACGGAGTGAGCTCCCGTCTCTAGTTCCAGCTCCTGCCAACCTAGCAGTTCGAAAGCAAGAAATTGCAAGTAGATCAATAGGGACCACTTTGGTGGGAAGGTAACAGCATTCCGTGCGCCTTGGTGTTTAGTCATGCCGGCCACATGACCACGGAAACGTCTTCGGACAGTGCTGGCTCTTCGGCTTTGAAACGGAGATGAGCACCGCAACCCTAGAGTCGGATTCGACTGGCTTTCGAGCAAGGGATCCTTTACCTTTAAGACTGAGTTGAATGAGAAAGTGTTATTTATGGGACTGCTGGGAAATAATAAAGTAGATAAACCCCAAAAGGATTTATTTAAAGCTACGATTCTAGCTGCTCATGCGGTAATAGCATATGGATGGAAAGATGCTTTAAAATGGACTTTGGAAAGATGGAACCAGTACCTTTATGAATGGATTCAATCAGATATTTTATTGATAATAAAACAGGAAAAGACATGGGAAGATTAGGCATTGGAAATAAGGAAGAAATGGTTTGGGGGTATATAAGATGGGTAAGAGAAGGGGGAGCCAACAATGTTGTATTTATAAAACTCCATAGGGTGTGTTCATGGTTACAGATATAAGAATAAGATCTTTTTTTCTGGTCGCTGGGGGAGGGGGGAGGGAATAATAAAGGGGAAAATTGATGTATCTGGTTATGTCATGTAATCTGGATGAAAAGGATTAGGAATGAATATGAAATGTTAAACATCAATACAAATAATAATAAAAAAACGATTCTCTCAGGAGTCATAAAGGTGCAGGTTTCTATAGCGCTGCTAGCATTACAGCTTTAATCTGGTTTCAAAGGTGTTCTGCTGCAAAACAAAGGAACTGTAGTTCCAAGAAGGAATACAAGCAACACCTTCACACGATCAGAAGGGCAGTGGGAGAAAGTCTTTAGTGTGCGCGCGCGCACACGTAAAGTGCCATGAAATCACAGCCGACTTACAGCAACCCCACAGGGTTTTCAAGGCAAGTGATTAGGCAGAGGTGGTTTGCCATTGCCTGCCTCTGAAACTTCTCTCCCTGACTGCTCAATTAAATTCCACCTAAGGCATTTCTCCATAACCCTCATGGGAACGGGAAGGTTTACATCTGTTGAATTTCTACCTACCATGCCGCTGTTCAAGAGCCTCTGTACACCTTTAAGCAGGACTTGTTAAAGGATGCCTTCCATCCAGGGTTGCCAACTGTGGGTTGGGAAATTCCTGGAGATTTGTGGGGAGGAGCCAGGGAAGGGCAGGGTCTGGGGAGGGGAGGGTTCTCAGCAGGCAGGGCCGGATTTAGACTTGTTGAGGCCCTAAGCTATACAAAACCCAGAGGCCCCCTACTGTTTTAAATTACATCAGCTGGTCTCAGAAAAATTTAAAATATATATGCCTTTTTAATATTTGAAATCATTTTTTATATTGTGTTTTTATTTGAGGCCCCAGCAGATTGCGAGGCCCTAAACTGTAGCTTATTTAGCTTATGCGTAAATCCGGCACTGTCAGCAGGGTATATAATGCCACAGAGTCCACCCTCCAGAGCAGCCATTTCCACCAGGTAAATAGATCCCTGTCATATGGAGATCAGTGGAAATTCCAGGAGATCTCCAGGTCCCACCTGGAGGTTGACAATGACAACTGTACTTCCATCTTCCCATAAACAGGAATCCTGTGCAGCTGGATTCTGGGGAAACCACCCGAAGTACATCCTATCTGGGGGGAGACGACCACCACCACCACGCACATTCTCTAGGGTTGCCAACCTCCAGGTAGGGCCTGGAGATCTCCTGGAATTACAACTGGAATTTCCAGACCACAGAGATCGATTCTTCTGGGGCAAATGGCAACTGCGGAAGGCGGACTCTATGTCATTATACCCTCCCCAAACCCTGCCCTCTCGAGGCTCCGCCCCCAAAGCTCCAGATAGTTCCCCCAACTTGGAGTTGGCAACCGTAAAAGCACCCTGCTTTACCTTTTTAAACACCCTCTTCCCCGCAGAGGTCTATTTCCACGAGGGATCTGGCCCGTTCTCTAAGCAACATGACCAGGGTGGCGCCGTGATGATTTCGAAGCCCTGCAATAATAATAAAAAAACAAATATCCACCCAACCTTTTAAATTTAATTTTTATAGAGACCCGCTACGCGTACCTCGGCCGTCCAGTCCCTCTTACGGAACAGGCGAAGTAGAACCGGAAGCGATAGCTGCGTGGATCGTTTACTACCTCTTTAACGAACGGCCTGCAGGGTCCGCGTTGCCTAGCAACCCCGCCGCTACGCTCCCAGAAGCCCCCGTGGACTCTGTCACCTGGATTCAGATTGTCCCGCCTGCTCTTAAAGAGACAGCGATGAATAAGCAAAGAGCAGATAGTCGCGCCGCCGGCTTCCCTTTGCAAGGCTTGTGGCGATTAAACAGTTAACGCCGGAAGGGATCCTAGAGGTCGTCTAGTCCGACTCTCCTGCTCAATGCACCTTTTTGTCCACCTCCTGCGAGATTCACAGCTGCAGGATACGCAAATAATCAGTTCGCGAAGCTTTCCCCACGACCGCATTTTAGGGTTGCCAACATCCAGGCGCTACCTGGCGATCTCCCGGTGGCACCTGGAGATCTCCCGCAGTAATGACTTATCGCCAGATGACCAAGATCCGTTCCCCCGGAGAAAATGGCTACTTTGGAGGGTGGACTCTATGACATTATGCCCCGCTGAGGTCCCTCCTCTCCCCCAAACCCCACCTTCCCCAGATTCCACCCCCCAAATCTCTAGTAACTTCCCAACCCGAAGTTGGCAACAGTATGTATGTTGAAGCAGGACTGTCAACTCCAGCTGGAGATGGGGTGGGGCAAACCCAGGGGAGGCAGAGTTCAGGGAGCTGACGGAACTCAGCTGGGACCTGATGCCATAGAATCCACCCTTCTAAACTCCATGGGAAATGACCTGGGTCATCCGGAGATCAGTTGTGTAATCCCAGGAGCACTCCAGCTCCCACCTGGAGACTGTGTTGCAAGCCATAGTTCTGTCGGAGCTGTTCTCTCAAGGACAGTTCTGGAAAGAGCTCTCTCAGCCCCACCCACCTCACAGGGTGTCTGTTGTGGGGAGGGGAAGGGAGAGGAGATTGGAAGCCACTCTGAGACTCCTTTGGGTAGTGAAGGGCAGGGCATAAATCCAATCTCCTCCTCTTCTTCCTCTTCCACCTCCTCTTCTTCAACAAGGCAGCTCGCAACTACGACATTTCAAACAGGCTCACCTGGAGATTTCTCACAATTACAGTTGATCTCCAGACGACCAAGATCAGTTCCCCTGGTGAAAATGGCTGCTTTGGAGGGTGGACACTAGGGCATTATAGCTTGCCGAGGCCCCTGCCCTCCCCAGGCTGCACCCCAAAATTTCCAGGCGTTTCATAGAATCATAGAGTTGGAAGGGACCTCCAAGGTCATCTAGTCCAACCCCCTGCACAATGCAGGAAACCCACGTCTTAATCTCAATTTTAATAAGTGTATTTGGATATTTTATTGACTGTGTTGTTTTTGACTTACATTGTATTAATTGTTATGTTGGTTTTGTAAGCCAACTCTGTAAGCCGCCCTGAGCCGCCTTGGCGGGAGGGCGGGGTAAAAGTCTAACAAATAAATAATAAATTCATAAATAAATACCTCCCCACACACCCCCCCGCAGTGACCGCTGTTCCATGCTCACCACTGGCAACTCTATAAAAAACTGCAAAATCATCTGCTCGTCACTCCCCTGGTCAAATTTCTCCAGTGTAAATGTGTCAGAATGGATTCACATAACTGTTTTGCCCCACCAAGCAGTAACTGTTTACTCTCCTACCTTGTAATGCAGGTATGCACATCCTGGTCTTGCATACGTATGGACCGCAAGCTAGCATCACTCGAGTTCAGTGCACTACAGTTACCACTTCACCATGGACAGATGTTGTTCTGTACATCCAAAGGAGAGGAGCATTATATATAACATTCCCCATGTTCATTAAAACACCACTTGGATCTGAGAAAGTGTTGCAGGTAATGCCTCATGAAAGGAGTACGCAGTGAGATCACTGGAAGCTTCAAATGTGAGGGGTGACATGATTGAGGTTTACAAGATTATGCATGGGAAAGAGCAGGTAGAGAAAGAGGTACTTTTCTCCCTTTCTCACAATACAAGAACTCGTGGGCACTCCATGAAACTGCTGAGCGGTCAGGTTAGAACGGATAAAAGGAAGTCCTTCTTCACCCAATGAGTGATTAACACATGGAATTCACTGCCACAGGAAGTGGTGGCGGACGAGCATGGATGGCTTCAAAAGGGAATTAGATAAGCATATGGAGCAGAGGTCCATCAGTGGCTATTAGCCACAAGGTATAGATAGGGACTCTGGGGCAAGTGATGCTCTGTCTTCTTGGTGCTTGGGGGGGGGGTCAACAGTGGGAGGGCTTCTAATGTCCTGGCCCCACTGGTGGACCTCCTGATGGCACCTGGTATTTCTGGCCACTGTGTGATACAGAGTGTTGGACTGGATGGGCCTTTGGCCTGATCCAACATGGGCTTCTCTTATGTTCTTATGTTCTTAAATGTGCAAATGCACACATTCCCTGAAGAAATACGCCACTTGTGGCTTCTGTGAGCTCCACAGAGACCAGATTGGGCAGACAGCCAGGGCTCAATGTGAACCAGATCGATTCTCTCAGTCAAGAACCTATTTTCTAAACATGAGATGCATTGGTGAAGGAGCTAGTGTTGCCAACTTCCAGGTGGCACCAGGAGATCTCCCACTATTACAATTGATCTCCAGACAACCACGATCAGTTCCCCTGGAGAAAATGGCTGCTTTGGGGGGGTGGACTCCGTGGCATTATGCCCTGCCAAGGTCCCTTCTCTCCCCAAACCCCGCCCCCCCAGACTCCACCTCTCAAATATCCAGGTATTTCCCAACCTGAAGCTGGCAACTCCATAAAGGACACCGTGCCTCTGAGCATGTGCAGACCTCGTGTAACCATAACCAGTGCACTCATGCTCTTCGGGTACAGAATTTCGACACCCTGAGGAGGAAGTTCTACCTTCTGATTCCAGATGTGTGGGGAACTGGACTGAGTTCCCTCGCGGAAGTCTGCACATCCTCCGAGGCGTTATAATGATTCCATGTGTTGAAAAATCAGAGTCAGGGACCGAGAGCATCTGAGTAGGACGACGACCTGGTTAGCACACAACTCTGTCTCCTTTCCGAGATCTATTTCTGGCCCGAAGGCCTGCCGGCATTGGTGGTTTTCAGTCGTCGTACCACATTCCCCACGAGAAGAACCTGAGACATGCTTCACATGACCTCATTAAGCAAATCTGCTGTCTTTGGCTTTTCATTTCTGGCCTAATTAATAAACTGTGCTTTCCACACCACCCCCCTTTCTATCACAGTTCTCACTTCAGAAATGACAGGTCAGACGCAGATCTATTAAGCTGAAACGCCTCTGTCACACTCGTTCCCTCGCGCCCTAATTTTTGTATATCAGATCCTCCAGTGAGGTGGAGGGGTTATAAAGCTCTGCTGATGTGTACGGCACTTCATAGCAAACAGAGAGAGACAGCTCTCTGCCCCGAGGTGCTTACAGTCTATGCTGATGGAGAAAAAAGGAGGGAAGTGTCACAGGATAAATATGGACAGTTTCAGTAGGCAAAACAGACCAGATTCACAGATGCTCATCAACAGGGCCAGTTTGGTGTAGCGGTTAAGAGTGCGAACTCTAATCTGAGGGAACCGGGTTTGATTTCCCCATTGTTGGAGAGACCTTGGGTCAGTCCCAGTTCTCTCACAGCTGTTCTCTCAGGAGCAGGTCTCAAAGAGCTCTCTCAGCCCCACCTACCTCACAGGGTATCTGTTGTGGGAAGGGAAAGGAGATTGTAAGCCCTTCTGACACTCCAAGTGAAGGGTGGGGTATAAATCCTCTTCTTCTTCTTCAGATCTGATGGGATTTAAAACTGCTTTGGAGAAAGCATGAGGGTCAGGACTGATTGGTGGTGAACAGTGCCATCAAGTCGCATCCAACTTATGGCGACCCTGTAGGGTTTTCAAGGCAAGAGACATTCACAGGTGGTTTGCCATTGCCTGCCTCTGCACAGCAAAACCCTGGGCTTCCTTGGTGGTCTTCCCGTCCTTGTACTAATCTGGGCCAACCCTGCTTAGCTTCCAAGCCCTGATGAGAGGTCGTCTGCCATTGTCTGCGTCTGCATAGCAAAACCCTGGACCTGCTTGGTGGACTCCCATCCAAGTACAAACCAGGGCCAACCCTGCTCAGCTAGCCTGGCCCATCCAGAAGTGGTCTGCCATTATTTGCTTCTGGGTGTCCGAGTCCCCAAGCATTCGAAATAAATCCACGGTTGATGAACAAAGTCGAATTTATTATGAAGCAGTGGTTATATCAGGAACAAAAGCATTGTTAGTAATGACTACCAGTCTCATGGGCACACATAATAAAGGAACTTGAACCCGGGTAGAACCAATGAGCCAATTTCCCGCTGGCGGGATGGAAGAGAAAACGAGCGCCAAAATCCTTGGGAAAGCAACGGTTCTAAACCATAAACATAAGTTTAGTTCTCAGGCAGAGGATACATGATAAGCGAAGCTATGCCATAACACCTCCCTACCACCAGCTGGTCGACCTTGAGCAGTTACACCGTTGTAGCAAGAGAAGACAGTAAACACCTACTGAGGAAGAGCGAGTGGGGGATGGACAGAGCATGGGGCAATATACAGAGTAGCACAACACCTTATGGCAGCTTGCTGACACTGGGTAGTGACCCAGGACTTCCAAGGGGGCTAGCCCCGCTTAGCTTCTGAGATCTGACAAGACTGGTCTACCGTGGGCCATCCAGGGCCAGGAGTGATTGGCTAATTTTGTTCTGGGGTGGTGCTTCTAATCTACTTTTGCCTGTTCCCTACAGACTCACCACAGCTTGCAGCATTCAAAACCAGCAGCACCAACAGACGATTGTCAATTCTAAATAAAAATCTTACATACAAGTTACTGGACCACG